ATCAGACGTCATATTATGGTAATATAATATGAAGTAGAAGTATTACTCTGACATTTAGGAAAGCAATCGCTTTGAGAAAGAAGCTTTCAAATCGAACATGGAACGCGGAGGCTTCCAATATAAATTTATTGTAATGCAAATTGCAACTCTGCGAATAGGTGCGCTCAACTTCTCACAAATCCCTTTAGTCTACATTTTACAGAAATGTCGCTGCATCCTGTGAACTCTTTGTAAATCCTTCTTTAGTAACCTTACAATTTGAAGTCACTATTTTTCGCTATGATACATTTGTTAAATGTTTCATGGTAGCGCGTGTTTAAAAATACAATAGTCATGTCGGCTAGAAAAAGTGAACTTCTTTCACCACTTAGGCCTATATAACACAACCGAAACGTGTCGTAAATGTATTGAAAATGATTACTATTGTTTGTTTAACAAAAAACTATCCGTAACTTAGTTGACTAATTGGTTAACTGGTCGGTTGACGGTAATTCAACGTTTTTTTGTATTACAAACAACATGTATACCACGTAGATCTTAATTTAAACTCATTAAGAAATCTTGGGCACGAATATTTATGAAAATCCACAATTTAATTAATTGTCATGATGACTTCATGGTGCAGTTGCCAAGTCAGAGCCGATGTGGGTTCGATTCACACGGGAAAACTATTTGTGTGACTTTGCTCTGATAACACAAAATAAGTGAAAAAATCTAAAGGTAACTCAGAATATCACATATCAGGGGTGTTTAAAAGAATTATCCAAAACTTTAAACCTTTTTGCTGGTCGTAATTCAAAAGGACGATTCAATTTCGTAAAAGGGGATCCATAGATAACGGATATCACCTACCAAACCATAATACTTACGGCATAGCATAAAGTTGATTGCTATCTATAATATTACGGCCGGCCAAAGTTATCTTTGAATTATGGCGATTGTTCCGAAATTTTATTGGTCGCCGAGTTTGGAACGTAAATTGTAGCTATTTATTATGAAGGGACATATTCAAATTGATTTAATAAAAACTTAGGTAGTATCAATTCGGTTATCTTCTAAAAAAAATTAACGCCTGTACCCATGCCTTCAACAATGCTATTTTCTCTTATAGTTTTTTTTTTTAACATAACCTCCACCTTTATACAGGGTAAAGGAATTTTGAAGCTCCTTTAATAAAGCGCTTGATTGCTTAATCATAAATCGTTAAACTAATTTAAGAAAATAGTTTAGGATTCCTTCGTTCTGTTAACCGGCGAAAGTAAACATCCAACAAAGAGAACTTTTTAATACTGTTATAACCTCCTTCCTAACTCAGGTAGCAGTCTGCGTTTATTGAAAAAATTTGTGTCTGTGAAAACTTTATAATAACAATTCCATGCAAGTGCAGCTACGCTGCAATATCGGAGATTTTATGATTACCTTTCACAGACCGGATGTAGCTCTGCCCGCCCGGCTATCCCAATTTTCTGTTGCTGTCGTGCCCAACTTAATGGATCGAGATAAAACGAAATAGTCAATTTCGCAATTTCCAATGATAAAATTTATTTGACAAGTGGAAAGCGTACGTAGCTAACGTATTGGTGACATATTAATATTTGTAGATATTGAATAACTTTTTTTACATTACCGTCATACTTGAATAAACAAAGTAAAGCTTATGTAAGTCTTTACATATAAATTATTTTTTTAAATATTAAGCGTTAACGCTTAATATTTAAAAAAAATTGCAATTTCCATGGATACGGAAGATTCAATTGGCATTTTTATCATTAGAATTATTATAGTATTAAAGAATTGTGTTTAAAATCACATAAAAACATTTTTTTTTATTTCACCACTTAAATCAACCGCAAGCATTATAAAATAAAATATTTTTTGTCTGTGTACAAAAATTACTCAGAGTTTTGCATCACATAAGTATAATTCTACTGGTGGCAAATTTTTTCTATGAAAGTACTCGATTTTGTCATCCCACTCTCGGACAAGTTTCCAATATTACTCTCATATATTTTATTGACAAGCCGAAGTAAGAACCTTTGATATTTATAAAATATTTGAGAACTTTTGTTTCTCAAATCTTAATAATGTGAAAGTCGGACGTCTGGTAAGCTGTACCATAACTAAACAATACATCGTCCCATTCTTTTTTAGTTCCGTAAACCTGCTTAGGAAATTATTAATGTATGTATACATTACATTTAAAGTAAGACTTTGAAACATGGTAAACTAAAATTACCATGAAGTTTTACTTAATAGTATGTACACATAATGGCTATAATATTTTGAGTATATTTTTGTGTTAACCACAAAAGACCAAAATTTCATCACAATGGGATGACTGGTTTAGGAACTAGTAGAGGACAATTTCAAAAACATTATTTTCATATACAAGGGAAAAATATTATTTTTTTTCTTTTTTGTATAAATGATACGTTCATATTGATTCAAATGCAAACTTATTTTAACAATTGTGGTGTATTTATATTTTAATAAGAAAACTTATATTATACAAGATACCCTTAAGTTTGTTTCGTAGATATAAGTAAAAAAGAAATATCCCTTTTAATTTTAAATGGATGTAGACGGCTTTTTCCGTCATCAGTCTGTCTAGTAAAGGAAATTAAACGTCTTATCTTATCGTTGGAATATAATCTGCTCCGCTTTTTCACAACCTAACATTGACATAGAAACTGTTTCTATTACAAATAACAATGATTTAATCTGATTAAGTGAGATACGGTTAGAACTTTGTTTCTAAGTTTTGCTCTGTACTAACTATTCAGGACGCCTACAAAGGACGTACCTTCAACAATTTTCTTTGCTTTAATGCTAGCTTTACTTTGATTTATTAAAGAAAATAATCGTATAGACATAAAACACAAAAAATTCTCTTCGCATATCCACGTTTACTATACACAGACCGAACTCAGGCGGACGAAGCTTAGCAAGCTTATTCCATATACAATTGAGGATTATAAATTTGCTTAAGCATTTAAATACTGAACAGTTAAGAAAGATTACTATGCGAATATTCTGAGAGTTTACAATTATTTATCAGCTTTTATAATGATAAGCATGACATTAGAAGCCTATAATTGAGTTAAAACTAAATATGTAGGAAAATGTCGGGTACTCGTAACTGTAGCGTCATTCTTCCCTTTCCTGACAGGTAAGAAGCTGGGCTAAATGAAACTTAAGATCATGCGGTCCCTTTTTGAAAACAATATTAATGGTTAAGTCGCAGCATTGCTTAACCTTAACCATTATACGACAATTAGGACTAGCAGTAATCCTCAATTATACAAAACAAGCAGACGAATGACAAGATAATCCTATCCTGAGGGGGAAATAAATAATATAACAGTAGCAAACAAGTTTTAACTCCGTCTTAAAAGTTTCCGTTTGCTTAATTACATTTTCATTTATCTCCCTTTTTCGTCTATCCAGTTAGAAGCTGTTGCGAGTAATAATTTTAAAAATAACACTGTTTCTTTGAGGCTTTTATTTATTTTCTAGCGTAAATTCGATAATGTTTTTGACGCAAACTCAGTGCGGCTAGCACGTACTTCTTAAATAAACGGTTATGTATTTAAACTTAACTTTACTAGGAAAAATGTAATTTTAGGTGAACCGTCTGCTCGCTTGACCACTTTACAATAAAAAAGTCATAAATTAGTTTGATACTAATTTGGCGCCTAAAGTTTTTATTCATTATACAGAGATGACACCTAATTAAAAAAGTAAAAAGGTTCACTTGATTATAACTGAGAAATAACCAGATGGCAAATGATCCCACGAAAACTCAAACATCGGAGATATTGTGCCCAGTTCTATATGTTAGTGCTAATCTACAGTAACAGCTTCGTGGATTTGTACACTTGGTCAGGATTGTGAAAGTTGAGGTAACTAGTTTATTGAGAATGGAATGGGTAAAGCCTGCGAAGTTTCGGGTGAGAGTTCATGTTTTTCTAATTAAAATAAACGTTCATTTTAAAACGCTACAAAACAAGGGCATGTAGGTAGGTATACTTAGGGACGTTTAAGAAAATCGGACAATAGAAATACCTACATATATTTATGAATGCATGTTTTTAGTACCTTTTTGCAACTTATTATGTTCTTTGTTTCATTTTTATATAATTTTTAATACGGACTCATTCATTACAAACTTAGTAAGATATAAATTTTCATTACAATGTTAACCTTTTAATCAATGAAAGATAGATGACACAGATTTTCATGCTAGCCGATCAACAAAATCTCAATTAAAGGAAACGATTCAGATACTTTGCGAAATGGGAGGTATGCGTTATCGCGGGAATCCGGGCCGGGCTGGGATGTTGTCTGTCGAATTGGATCTGACGTGGGCACCTGGCTCTTTTCGGCGAAATTAAAAAAGTTTTCAGCTACATTAGGAGTTCGCAGGTCGCGTTTATTTAAATGCTGAGGCATTCCGTTTTAGTCTACGCGCTGACTTTTGTTATTCGCGAAAAGAAATTTTAATCTTTTTAGATAACGGCCTATTGATTTTATTTTAAATATTTAATGAGATATAAAAATTTACTGTTTAATATTTATTTATTTATTTTAATTATAATAATGATAATGATAAACTTTTACGCGCTTTTAAGATAAAACTGACTTCGAACCTCAGTGCACACTTAAATTTTGCCAAGAAATTTTATTTATGTATGTTAGTTTCAGTTTATTGGATGAAATTAAATACAAGAATTTAACTACTGTTTAAAATTTATTAATAAACAGTGTCTTCTTAAACATAACAACAAAAAACATTGTGCTAGAATACAGTGTCAAGAATCTAACGAAAAAGAGTTAACACCTATTTAATAATATGTTGATCATTTAATTACTTTTAATTATTAAACATTGCCGAATACAATTGATAGAAAGTCAACATTATCTCACCACGAAGTGAATTTAAAATCGATAACAAAGTAACAATTTGACGATTAAAACAATAAAATTGAGCACAATGATTAGGCGCATCCCATGCGTCTTAACCATCTTTGGATATTGGGATTGCATAAATTTACATAAACACCAGGTGTGTCCGGTATCCCACAGCCTATTCCAAAGGAAACAACACCCACTTGAGTTTTCGTTCCGGTCCTGACCAACGGGCCACCAGAATCACCCTGCGAAAAAATTTAAAATCTGATGTAAATAATTTTTTTATGAATGAAATATTAGTAACGCAGAAGAAAATAACGTCACTAAAACTTGGTTTTTAGCTTTAAAACGAACAGTTAATACATGCGCATACGTTCTAGTAGAAACATGCTCGTAAAAATAAAGCCGAGGTAAAACTGTCTTTTTTTTTTTATGCAAAAAGTTGTCAAACGAGCAGACGGTTCACCTGATGTTAAGTGAATACCGACGCCCATGGACATCTGCCACTCCCGAGGGTTACAGATGCGTTGACAACCTTTTGAAAATTGGGCTCTGGCTACCTCACTCACCAGACGAAACGCGAAAGTATTTCTCATACTTCCACTTTACGCTGGTCTTCTGTGAGGTCGTGGTACTTATCCGGATGGGCCTGCCCATTCGTGCAACAGCTGAGGCTGCTGCGTGGCCGTACCACCGTTAACCTACATTCTAACTGTCTAATTCAAACGACGTAACTAGCAAGAGTAAACTATAAATAAGAATCCCTGATATAGACTCTGAAGTTTATCCGTGTACAGAAATTGTTATACAAAAATTTTATAAACCTTGAAAGTCCTACTTCAAGGGGCTACAGGTTTTTAGCACAATGGACCACGACAAAATGAACATACCTGGCAAGAATCTTTTCCACCTTCAGCAACACCAGCGCATAGCATGCGGGAAGTTAATTCGGGATATGTTCTTTTGCACTCATCACTGGCAACGGCGTCGACGGTTACCACCATCAGAGTAGTACTTCTAGCACCGTTTTCCTGTAAACAAACTTTTGAATCAATACAAACTCACCTGCTTACTTTGTGTTTATATGAAACTGTTTACTGTAGTTGGGTCACGCAGTAGCTTCTCCTATTGCATGAACGTTCGACCAGGAAACTATCAAACGTACGACCTCATAGTAAACCAAATTTAAGTGATAAAATTATACTTTGGCGTTTCATTATGTGAGTCAAATAGCGAGGCACTTATTAAAAACTTCGTGGAAGGTGGCTATAACTTAACATTACGTTAACCACTTGCTTGTTTGCCCCCTTCTCACATAAAACTTGGATTCTGTGTAAAACAGAACAAGAATTCAAGAACAAGATTCAGATGTGTATTCTTTCTAAATCCATTCCCTAGATCAAAAATAATTTAATTGATCCGCAATCTGTGGTCCATTTACTTGATTGAAACACTTAACGTGGTGGCAAAACACTATAGATCATTCGTTTTCTTACTCTCAGTGTGGTAATATGGATATAAAATATCTTATTTTTTTGCATAATGGTCACTTGGCAATGGCAATTTTACGTTATAATTGAAGTTCACATGGTATAATGAATCTTTTAATGTGTGTGAATCTTTATTCATTAAACAAAACTGGACTTACGGTCGTGTCACCCCAGCCCGTGACAGTCAAGTTGGTTCCAGGGGCGACGGAACAGTTATTGGCCGGGAAGGTAATTCTTGAACTGTTCCTGCCGTCTAACGTAATGGGTCTGATCAGTTTTATTACGGCGAGGTCGTAATCGCCCGTCGTGTCGTTGTATTGAGGATGTTTGATGAGCATTCGTGAATCGTACGTAGTGCCGCCGCTGTTGGCATTGGTGCTTCCCACTCTAATATTTACCGACTCCATCCTGTGTTTATTCATACGATTCAATTAGGTTACCGCCTGACAACTTATTATAAAGTTATCATTCAAACTGTGGTCTAGATTATCTAAGCAAAACGATGTATTAATAGAAAAAGTAATCTAGTTAGAACAGTTTCTATTTACTTTAGAATAGAATATTTGCTTTGAATTTAAATTGAATAATTAAAATATTCTACTTCTGATCTTCCAATAATTTAAAGTAAGTCGAGGCTCTTGTTTTATTTTACTGCAACATAACTTTTATGACATCAAATACTACAGCCGAGTTGACTTACTATGCATGCGAAGTAATAAGCTTCTGTTACAATCATTCGACCATACCGCTTAAAAATGGGATTATTGAAAGAAACTCCATTTACGATGCTTATATAACTAAACATTTTTAATACTTTTCTAATTCTATTCACAGCTATCGTCCATAAGGATAAATAACTTGAAATAAACTGTAAAGGGGAATCGGTACGTTAAAAACATTTTAATGCGTTTCATACCCGTCCAAACAATGAGCTGCTGTGATAATACAGCGCTCGTTAGCAATTGAACCGCCACATTGGTAGTAATTATTGGCAAAAGCCTGCTTCAATAACAGATACACCTGGTATGGATATTCCTGTATGGTCGTCTCAGTACCCCCTACAATTTTTCCACCATTCATCTTCTGAACCTTAAGTGGGCTCAGTGTAGCATAGACATCTGAAAAAAAGGGCAAAATGTAATTCTTTAAACCCCCTTAAAGCCATAATTTTATTTATATTTAACTTTTGGAAATAACAAGCTGGCTATTGCTAAATTCCAATCCGTAAGTCCAGTATTTGGGGGCACAACCTTTATTTTCCGTAGGAAAAATCCTTTATGGATCCACTGCCGCTGGATCAGGGGAGTGGCAGAGGTATATGGGAGTCCCGGTGAGAAACAGGTACCCACTAAAAAACCCACGTTGCACCTGTCTCTGTCGCATCGGCCGGGAACACGTGGGGCACAACCTAACTGTCGAATTTCTTTGGAAGGTTTATGCACTATGAACTTGGAAGCAAACATTAGGCGACAGCTAGGCACTCACTTTCATGCACGTTATTCTTATGCACACTATTCCCTGCCGCAAGGTGGCGAGGCCTATTTAGCTTTCACATGCCGGCAGAATTCTAAGCCCTAAAGGCACAAACGTCGTAATGACTACCTCTCTTTTACAGGAGTTCCAGCGCAGTGAATGCCCTGGAACGTGGGTACGTATTCTTGTGGTGAGTCGTTGTTCCTGACCTATCCCATCCTAACGTAGTAATTAGGTCGTTTCCTATTCCCTTCCTGGCCTTATAGTTAGAGATCCCTACTAAAATGGAAGCAGCTCTTAGGAATAGACCCTCTTCAAGGGTCACATCCAATTGGCCATTGCCAGTTAAGTAGAAAGGCTCGAGTAATGGGGATATAGCCCCTAAGACTCGCGAAAAGACGGGCCTTCAACCGGCGACTCCGAGATAAGCAAACTTCTGCACTCAAACGGGAGATGTTGAGAAAGCATATGCCTGCTAAATATCTAGTTCTTGATCACTGTGCACACTCTCCTAACATTATTTCGTATTAAACTTGAGCTGTTCAAGTCATTTTAACCTCAATGTAAATAGATAGAAAAAAGACGTGATAGCAGAACCGTATAAAGGCATTATAATATTATAAATACATACCCAAAATGGATGTGCTGGTGAACACCACAAACAGTACAATACGTATGTAATGCATTTTCAGGTTCAACTAGAAGTGTGTCAACCTCATGAACGATGTGTTCTTAAATACCATACGTTTGACATAATCATGGTCTTAGTTAATTGTTTACCGAGATAAGGTAACGTTAAAGGTTTTATAATTATTGAGAATTGTACCCCTATGAGGAGATAAGAGCGTCATTATCTGAAATTGTTAGCACTTTTCTTATAATTTTCTCAAATAATTATTTTCTCTTTGAACGCGGAATCAAATATTTATAAGATATAGAATTGTTCAATATGCGGCATACGTCTGACATTGCCGACATTGTTTACGAACCGCGAGTATTGATTATTAGGTGTAAGTTTTTTATGCTAATCATCTATTTCTGTCTTTATGCTAATCTAATTTTTTCACCTCTTTTCTTTAAAGATTAACTTTTATAGTGATATTCTTAGCACTGATAATAAAATTTAAAAAATTGTAGAAAAGTTGACAAGATATTGTTCGCCGCTGCGATAATTTGACTTTGTGTCCTACAGAATAAGCGCCTAGCGCTCTAGCCACTGAGCTAAACGGCTTATCTTCACACCGACGAGAGTCAACATATTTTATCTAATTTGTTTTTATTACATTTTAAACAATGTTTGACGTTATCTAATGAAAGAATGATCTTTTACTGTGAAGAAAACCTTCAAAGTAAAAGATCACTTTTTCATTTAACATTTTGCGATTAAATATTTGAAAACTAGACATAACATCTTTGACATCAACACTTTTAAAGGATATTAATTTTCATGTTGCTATTCCCTATATTCAAGACGAAATTTAAAAAATTGAAAGAAAAGGTTGGCGTCCATTAATAAATTATTCATTAAAATAATTTTATACGGATTGGTACACATCTCTTAGTAAGATTAAACTACCTATAAATTTTCACATGATATTCAACCTTGTTATCAACGAAAGCTTCCGGCCGAGAAAGGCCGATCAACAGAATCTCAATTAAAGGACCGATTCAGATACTTTGTGAAATGGGAGATATGCGTTATCCCGGGAATACGGACCGGGCTGGGATATTGTCTGTCGAATTGGATCTGACGTGGGCACCTGGCTCTTTTCGGCGAAATTAAAAAAGTTTTCAGCTACATAAGAAGTTCACAGGTCGCGTTTATTTAAATGCTGAGGCATTCCATTTTAGTCTACGCCCGCACTTCTGTTATTCGCGATGAAAAGTTTTAAGCTTATTCGGTAATGGCCTATTGATTTAATTTGAAAAATTTATCGATATTTTATTTCTTTTTTATTTACTTTAACCGTTTGAAGGACTTTAAACGTTTAAGCGTTTTTAAAATATAATTAACTTAGAACCTCAGTGAACACTCAAATTTTGCCAAGAAATGTTATTATGGATGGATTAGTTTATTGGATGAAATGAAATACTAGAAAAAAACTACTTTTAAATATTTAATTGTAAACAGTGTCTCCTTAAATAAATATCACATTAAAAACCATTGAACAATACAGTGTCAAAAATCTAATGATAAAAAGAGTACCCATTTAATAATATGTTGATCAATTTATTTGTCTCCAAATTTATAAACATTGCCGAATACAATTGCTAGAAAATCAACATTTATCTCATCAGGAAGTGAATTTGAAATCGATAGCAAAATAACAATTTGACGGTTGAAACAAGAACATTGAGCACAAAATTTATGCGCATCCCATGCGTCTTAACCATCTTTGGATATTGGGATTGCATAAATTTACATAAACACCAGGTGTGCCCGGTCTCGCACAGCCCATTCCAAAGGAAACAACACCCACTTGAGTTTTCGTTCCGGTCCTGACCAATGGTCCACCTGAATCACCCTGTAGAATAAAGAAGGTACCATGAAAAAAAAATTGACACTCGCAGAAATATTCACTGTAATTCAAAAGAAAATAACGTTACTAAAACTTGGTTGACGGCAAGTTGTCGGCTTTAAAACGAAGAATTAATACATGCTCATGCATCAGAAGTATGCGGAAAAACTGTCTACGTTGTAAAACGGCGTAGCTATTATCAAGTCTAAATTGATTTAATCAATGAAATCGTAATACAAAAATTTTATAAACCTTAAGAGTCCTACATAACTTTTACAAGGGTTACTGGTTTTTTAGCAAAATGGACCACGATAAAATGAACATACCTGGCAAGAATCTTTTCCACCTTCAGCAACACCAGCGCATAGCATGCGGGGGGTTAATCCGGGATATGCTCTTCTGCATTCATTACTAGCTATGGCGTCGACGGTTACCGCCATCAGATTTGTACTACTTTCACCGTTTTCCTACAAACAAATCTTTGAATCAATTACAGAACTAATTGCAAATAATAATGAATTACAGACCCCTCAGTGCGTTCTATTGTTACATGGGAAGGTGTGACCGGTGAACTACCGACCTCATAGAAAACCAACGTGAAGTGATAGTAATTTATTTTTACGGTTCATCTGGTGAGTCTGATAGCCCAAGCCCACGTTTTCAAAAAGTAAAGTGTCTGTACTGTTCAAAAGGTGTGTATAAGTGGCTATAACTTGACATCACGTGAACTGCTTGCTTGTTTGCTCCAAGCAAACAAGCAAGCAGTTTTACACAAGGTAAAATTTAGGTGTTTAAACCTATTTTCTAACCCTAACATAATTTTATGGATTCGCGAGCTGTGGTCGGTAGTTTACTCGATTGAAACACTTGACGTGATGGAAAAACACCATAGACCATTTTCGTCTTTTTACTCTCAATAAGGTATTTTAAATTCTCTTTCGTATGGCAATTCCAATTTTGTGCCAAATAAACAGTGATATAATGAATCTTTTAATTTGCGTAAATCTATACTCATTAAACAAAACTAAACTTACAGACGTGTCACCCCAACCAGTAACAGTCAAGTTGGTTCCAGGACCGACGGAACAGTAATTGGACGGGAAGGTAATTCTTGAACTGTTCCTGCCGTCTATCTTAATGGGTCTGGCCAGTCTTACTATGGCGATGTCGTAATCGTACGTCGTGCCGTTGTATTGAGGATGTTTGATGAGCATTCGTGAATCGTACGTAGTGCCACCGCTGTAGGCATTGGTACTTCCCACTCTAATATTCACCGTGTCCATCCTGTAAACGAACATGGCTAATTCGTACAATTCAATTCGGTTACTGCTGTCTTTCTTAGATCACTGATTACGAATATGAAGGAATAATTAAAACTATTCGTTTCTCCTTTAATCGACTTAAGCGTGAATAAAAGCAAAACAATCTACTCTAAGGACAATAAACCTTTAAAAAATAATTTAGTATTATTTTCATCAGTTTTGTGCTAAGGCTGCTGATAAATAGTTTCATATTTGTTAGAATAAAAATATTTTCCCACCTCATAGCTTGCAACAATTTAAGGCTCTTCTTTTATTTGAATGCTAACTTTTATGACGTCAAATAACAGCACTAACTACAGCTGAGTTGATTTACTATGCATGCTGAGTAATAAGCTCCTTTTACAATCGCTGGATCGTACCCCTTAAAAAATGGGATTAGTGAACCCAACCCCACTTACGATGTTTATATAAACTTTTTAATAATTCTTCTAATGCTTTTCACAGTTAACGTCCATAAGTTACAAAACAACTTGATAAAAAAAATATTGCGTTTCGTACCCGGCCAAACAATGAGCTGCTGTGATAATGCAGCGCTGATTAGCAATTGAACCGCCACATTGGTAGTAATCATTTTCAAAAGCAGGCTTCAATAACAGATATACTTGGTAAGGATATTTCTGTATGGTCGTCTCACTACCCCCTACAATTTTTACACCATTCGTCTTTTGAACCTTATGCATACTTTGTGTAGCATAGACACCTGAAAAAAGGAGAAGAACATAGTTCGTCAAATATCCTCGATGCCTACCATTTTCAATTTTTTTTTTTTTTCAATTCAATGGGATCAAATCCCATACGGAACAAGTATTCATGTAACCCACAAATAATTGTTCCGGATCTTGGTGTTTGTTTCCCAAGGAGGTTTGACAGCCTGATGTCAAACCTCCTTGGGAAACAAACACCACAACAGCGGATCTACCGCTAAAAAACATAGCCAAAACTGCTTCTAACATGATTCACATGTTCTGCTGACCCCACCTAAGTGGGATAAGGGCAGCCGAATAAAGATGATGATGATGAGCAGTCCATTGGAACTTCAATTTAAATACATCGAACGAAAAGAGGCGATAGCAGCATATTATAAACTTATTATTTTAAACACATACCCAAAATGGATGTACTAGTGAAAACAACAAGTAAAATCTGTATGTAATGCATTTTCAGGTTCAACTAGAAGTGTGTCACCCTCATAGGCGATGTATTCTTAAATACCATACGTTTGAAATAATCATGGTGTTAGCTAATAGTTAGTTTCACAAGATAAAGTAACGTTAAAGGTTTATAATTACTGACTATTGTACCCATATGAGGAGATAAGAACTTCATTACGTGAAATTGTAAGCACTTTTCCTATAATTTTCTCAAATAATTATTTTCTCTTTGAACGCGGAAGCCAATATTTTTGTAAATAGCATTGTCTGTCATTATGCGGAATACGTCATCCATTGTTATTGACAAACTAGCATTTTCTGGCGGTGAGTTCACGTGCCCAGTATGGGGCCGCAATGTTTATACCAAGCTCGTAGATACAGCTTAAATTAATTATGAGAGAAGGTTAAGTCAGACATGCGGATGACATACATGGGCACAAACTTACACCGCAAAAACTAAAACTTTGGAGAAGCCGTCTCAAGCAAGATGCATATGGCGTGCTAAAACGCTGCTTCCGAACCCATTGTCCTTTGCCTGGTCACAGATTGCCGTGGCCAATCTGGAAGTCTTTAAATGGACTTCGGACTCAGGTTTGCCGGAGAAAGGAAAATATGTTCAGGTGGGGACTCTCAGAAAACTCAGACCTGGACTGTGTGTGCGGAGCAGTGCAATCCATGGCTCATCTGGTGCCCTGTCCTGCCTGCTCTTTCACCTTTCACCTAATCATTGCAGGATTTGATAGACACCACGAATTGTGCAGCCGAAGTAGCTAAGTTCTAGGCCGGAAACATTTAATTTGTTATTGACACGCAATGAAGAAGAAAATCGACCAACCGCGGGTATTTATTGTTATTAATTCTCTACAGTAAAAGGATTCATCGTTATCTTCCTGAGATACTCTTTATCAGAGTTATAGTACCATGGTCTTAATAGATGTCTGATCTCAAGGCAATGATAGTACCCGAGGTCAAGGTTGCTGCGTGATTATTTTTAAGGGCAAAAGGTTTAAATAATGACGTCAGAGAGCTTAGACTAAAGAAGACTTAGGATTAATTCTAATTCCGAATGATGATGCCGAATTTATTTATTTATACTTTATTGTACACCAAAAACATTAAAAGTACAAATAACAAATAAAAGCACAATAGGCGGTCTTATCGCTCAAAAAGCGATTTCTTCCAGACAGCCATTTCGAAAAGAATTTTTTCTTAAGAGACATAAATAAGAAAGCAGAGGGAAGTTCATGTATTATCGTTTTAATTTTTTTATAGTGTTTATTCACTGATAGAATTATGAACCATAGAAATTATATACTTTTTTAATTATTACGTTTTAGATAATAAAAGCAAAAATAAAGTCACTTAGAAATTAAGGTTTGCGTCTCTTACACTCGGCATGCGACATGCGGTTTTCACTCGTGAACCCATCAGCCCTCAATTCTACGAGCTATGTGCCCTACCAATTTCCCCTTCTTTGCAGAACCGCTTTACTATAATATGTCACCAACTTTCGTCTGTGGATCTTTAGTTCTCCTTCCTGATTCGATGTCGAAGAGAAACCTCAAGCATAGCCCTCTCAATTGCCTGTTGAGCGACGCATAGTCTCTTAAAGAGTCCCACAATTAGAGGTCACGTCTCGGCGCTGTAGAGCTGGTCAAAGACTAATTTCTTTAGACTTTGTGGTATTGCGGATGAAAAGAAGCTTACCGAAAGCTGTCCAACCGTCATCGTGCCGTATGACTTCGTACTATTGAAAAATGGGATAGTATACAATCATGACCGTAGAATTTTTAGCAAACTCTTTTTAGTCCAAATTAGTCTACCAGTGGTATTTTAATGATCATTTCAGCGTTCATCATCATCATCATTTCAGCCTGTTTGAGTCCACTGCTGAACATAAGCCTCCCCCATAGACAGCCACGAAGTACGATCCTGAGCCACCTGCATCCGTCGACTTCCCGCGACATTTCAGCGTTGCCAAGCCTAAAATCAACAAACCAATTTGACTTTGTCTGAGAACAATTCTATGTATTTATTAAATAAACTTTTGAGTATGAAACAACTAATATTGAACCTTCAGAACCTTACACTAATTTGGTGCGGGTCTAAAGATATATAATACTACTGTATAATACTAATTAACTTCCAAAACAATAAAGATCCTCTTAAAATTATTCCAATTAAACTTACCAAATTATGAGTATTGAAGCTAATACATATACTCTATCTATTTGTTAGATTCTTATGTTGTCATAATCATATTACAAACTTGAAGCATTCAATGTCGAGACTATTTTGTAATGTGCATTGAATCGAGCACAATCGAATGGAACAAAAATAAAATATTTGAATGAACTCATAGCAAGATTCAATCAATCGACATTTGTGTTGTCAATTATATCGATGTCCTTCCGCATTATTTTGATGTCGTGTTAGGTTAAGGCCGATGCTTTGCTATTAAATATTTACGGATAATTGGGATAGATTGGAAGGTTCTCAATTTGATTCGAAATAATAATTATTATACTAAGTGTAATTTGCATGAAAATATTTTGATAATTTTTGTTATGAGTTTCCTTAGTGTATTTTAAAATATTGTGATCCTTGGCGAAAACACCCGCATTCAAATGCTAGTAGACCTTAGTAGTGATTCTGATATTAATCTGTTCACACATTAATATGTGAGTCATCAAATTTTCATCATAGTTTTATTCCTGATATATAGTTCAGAGATTTCGAACTTCACCTTTCGTAAAGGCTCTGGTCTCAGTGGTGTGTATAATAAGAGTATTATTGTCTACTCTAACCTGATAAAGCTTAAATGCTCAGTATTAAGCATAAACACCTTGTCTTGTATCGAGGAAAGAAAATGTGCACAGGGATTGCTTATATTAAATTCCAGCATCTCCCTTCTATTCTTATATTCTACAACTAACCCCATTATAATCTCCTCCTGATCCGAGCTCACTAGATAAGGAAAGTACGGTAAATCATCTTACACTCGATGCCTTGGGAGAGCAAGGTCAAATGCCTTGGGGACAATTTCGACTCTCTGATACTCTGATTGAAAATGTAAGGAGTAGAGCTGGGTTCTAAAAGGATAGACTTCATAATCTAACGATGTATGTATGTTCATCAAATACAGAATTTGCTGAATATACATTATTATTAAGGTGAATAAAATTCATGCGTGCTTGAAAATTAATGTGTGATGTAATAATAATAAAAAGTACTGATGTAATAATGAATGTGTGATGTAATTTTTTTTCTTTGTTATATTTTTATTCTTATTTTAATGATTCATTTATTTCGTTTTAATTTGTATTATTAATTTGTATTATTAGATTGTATTATTAATTTGTATTATTAATTAGTAATTTCAATTTAATTCTTAATTTGTAACGCTGTTGATGATTTGTATGTTGTTTGTTCCTATAATTAATTTATTTAACTGTGGTAGGGCCACGCAGCAGCCTCAGCTGTTGCACGAATGGGCAGGCCCGTCCGGGTAAGTACCACGACCTCACAGAAGACCAGCGTAAAGTGGAAGTATGACAAATACTTTCGCGTTTCGTTTGGTGAGTGAGGTAGCCGGAGCCCAATTTTCAAAAGGTTGTCAACGCATCTGTAACCCTCGGGTGTGACAGATGTCCATGGGCGGCGGTATTCACTTAACATCAGGTAAACCGTCTGCTCGTTTGACAACTTTTCGGATAAAATAAAAATAAATATAATTGGAATAGCACCAATCTTGTGTTTTGGTTTCTTTTTTTTTAACTTGTGATGGTGTCTACTCTGTTGGTGCAACTAAGAAAGAAAGAAAGAAAGAAAGAAAGAAAGAAAGAAAGGAATGAATGAATGAATGAATGAATGAATGAATGAATGAATAAAACATGCGCGAAACGGTCGAGAAAGATATCCCGAAAACACCAGGGTGGCCGACAACATTGTAAGCACTCAATGTTGTCGGCCAACTTGTAACGTGTTATCTGTGAAGTTATAGCACCTATAATCGCATAGTTATTGCTCACCTACGAAAACGGCGACCAACAAAAATTTCTACAGTTATTAGGGTCACGATCTGTTCCGAAACACGAAAACCTACGCATGAGCACATACGACCCTACACAACTATTGGACCGTATTAAGCTCCTGGGATCTAGTTCGCCGTGATAGCTCAGTTGTCCGGGCACTCTTTTCAAGCTACCTGAGTTCAAATCCCGCCGTTGGATCGAACGAAATTGTTTAATGCAATTTCAAATTCTGACATGATGAATACTGTAATAAAAAATATTAAATTCTAAGATTTGTGAAGTCTGCCAATACATGATAAGGTCGCGTGGAGAACTATGCCTCTATACAGAGGAGACCTCTGCCCAATGGAAAGAGAACACATACATATAGGCTATTATTTTACTACTATACTATTAATAGATTAGCTTTTCGTTTTCTTACGAAATAAAAGCAAAGATAAATGAATAATAAAGAATCAGTCATCAATTAAATTCGTATTGAGATGCAGATATGTGATTATAAACTATAAACAGTATAAGTACAAGTGTTTATTGTCAATTTTATCTTGAATAACTGTTATGTAAATCATCTAAGGTAGCCCGAAATATGTCAAAGAAAAAGTTAAATTTGAATATTCTCGCAGTGGCGGTGCGAAACTTATGGTAATTTTGTAGCATCAACGCCCTGGGCCCATTTACATGCTCCCGGGTCACCTTGTCTAAAATAACCGTGACCCAATTCATATTAAGAGTCCATTTACACATGTTTTCATAATCATTTTATGTTATAACATCAAAGTGGCAACGACTTCGATACTAATTCACTAAAGATTAGCATATTTTTATCTCTAAAGTAATGGAAGTTTTCGTAATTTAAAAAGAAACCAACTTAATTTAAAGGTCCCTTTTCTACGAATGCTATCCTTAATGAATATCAAATAAAATAACAAAAAATCTGATAAAGGCTTAAAAATAATTATCTTTTAATGTTTTC